AAGTAACCTATGCTACAGATGTGGAGAGGCTGGACATAAGGCCATAACTTGTTCTGGTCGAGTACGATGTCCTATATGCTCCCTACGTGGTGTGCCATCGGAGCACAGAGTTGGCACCGAAAAATGTGCCGCAAAAAATATTGGTGGACTTCAGCCTAGTCGAGTGGCTAACGTAACAAATAGGAAGATGACTAATGTATGTAGCAAAACTTTGGTCTCATCTGTAGTAACTGAACCTGCTGGTGGGGGTCCGGCAGAAGAAGAGACTCAAATNGAAACATGATAGTAGTGCAATTAAACATTAATCATTGTAGGGCGGCACAAGACATGCTTATGCAGNACGTGATGGAGACTGGGGCTGGATTGGCATGTGTTGCTGAACCGTATATGGTCCCCGATTCACAGTTATGGTTCGGGGACTTGGATAATACAGCTGCTGTTTATTGGCATCCGCGAGCGTGCAAGTTGGAAGTCCGCCCTATTGTTAGGGGTAGAGNTTTCGTTGGTATCAAGATTGGGGGCTGGCGGATGTTTAGTGTCTATCTTTCCCCTAATGAATGCCGAAAAGATTTTGAGGACCGTCTGGATAGGCTGGCCGATAGCGTCAGGAGAACAGGACCCTCCCCCTTTGTTATTATGGGGGATTTTAATGCGGCTTCGACGAGTTGGGGATCAAAGCGCACTAATATGCGTGGCNAAGTGTTGGAAGAATGGGCAGCTTCCCTCGATCTAGTTTTGCTCAATGTGGGTACCTCCCCTACATGTATACGGGCGCAAAGTACCTCGGTGGTGGATCTCACTTGGTGCAGCCCGGATATGGCNAAAAATATGAGTAATTGGAGAGTTATTGGGGACACTGAGACCATGTCAGACCATGCTCTCATTGAGATGGAAATCAAACAGCATGTTGACGCGGAAATAACAGACTGTCGAAGAAAGAAGCAGGCTACTTTCCCTAGATGGTCAACGAAGAGTATGAACTGGGATTTGTTAACAGCTGCTATGATCACAAAGGATTGGCTGTGTCCGCAGCCTGTATTGTGCGACTCGGAGGAAGCGGCAGCCCGACTGGTTCAGCTCCTGGAGGAAGCCTGTGACGTT